TTTTTGTCAATATAATTATTTTGATATACACTAAATTATTTTTAATTATATGGAAGTTTTTTACTAATATTTTAAAATTGGTTTGATTTAATATTATATTATAATTAATAGTTATAATCAGGGATTTAAAAAACAACGAGTCAACTCGGTGGTGGTAATTACAATAAAAATGACATTATATGATAAAAATGACATTATATGATAAAAATGAAGAAATTATTAATAATAATAATTGGCTGCTCATCACCCCTATCTTCAACCAAAAAAATCTAAATTTACTTACCCAAATAAAACGTAAAAAATCTATTAGGCTATTATATCACGAGATTATTTCGTTATATAATTATTAATTAATTAAGTAGTTAATTGAGATTAAAAACTAGTACCAGCTCATATGATATTAAAAAACAAAAATAATACTAATTCTAGTTTATTGAATATTAAAAATATTAGTTTAGAGGATATTTTAAAAGAGAAAAATAATACTAACTCATACCACTTTAGAATTTATTTCTATATTGATAATAAAATATTTTATTTTTTAATTTATTTGTATTATAAATTATGTGATATACTATTTTTTCTTCCAGTTGTCAACAATACATTTTAAATTAAATGATATTATAAGATATTTTGGATTTGTTATTATTTGTATAATAAAATAAACTATAAAATATAAACCAACAATTTCAATTTCAGTATATAATATTATAGTTAGGTTGTAATAATTTGGGTTTTTTTAGTAGAGTAGGGTTTTCTGCCAATTCGTTATTTTGGTAGCCATTTTTTCATCGATTTAATCCATTCTTTATTATAGTCCAATATAATTACATACTTCATCCATAATAATTATATTATTATTCTTTTGTGTGATGTAAATTTAATAGTTAACCTAAGTTCATACGGGGAAAGTACATCTCAATATTCGCATGTTGATGAAAATATGAAAGTTAATAATGTAGGACCCCCATTTTTCATTGGATTATTAAAAAGCAACACTTATAATGAATTTTGATAAATTTTTTTAAGGCTTAATCCGACCGATCCCCAATCGGGATCGCTAATTCACCGATTCGAATGGGTTTTTTAGGTGTCCGATCCAGGGCATCGATCCGTTTTTTAAACCACTAGGTGAAAGTATTTCATAAATTAATGAAGTCATTATTTTGAGGGAAAATCATAGATACCCTCTTGACTCGAATACCTTCTAAATCACACTCCTAACCTCCAAACTTTTTATATTTATAACTAACCCAAAGTAAAAAAAAAAAAGGTATTTTTTTAAACAAAATATCCTCTTTTTAGGCCATGTTTTTTACTTTCTCTCTCTAAGTCGGTCGGGCACAAAATGTGTCCGATTAGCACAATTTGAATATTGCATTTGAATATAGAATTGGTCTGACACGTCTTTTGTGCTAGATTGGCTTTATATTCAAGTTTTGTTGGTCCAGATCATTTTTGTGTTGGACATGCACAAGCTGGTCTAACATATTTTTGTTTCGGACCAAAACATATTAGGGTCACGTTTTCGAATCATGGGTTAAAATAGAGGGTATTTTGGTTCAAAATAATTCACTTTTTTATTTGGTGTGATGGTTGTAAAGAAAAATAATGTTGGGGTTAATAGTGTGGTATCAAAAATATTGAAAGATGATGCCTATAAAGTACAAATTTATGGGATTTTTATAATTTTTTTATTTTTTAAAATATTTTCCTTTAAGTACATTTTGAAGAATTTTGTTAAAAAATGTTCAAATTATCCTTTTTTAAAAAAATTATCCTCGTTTTGAGCTTGTAACCTTATAAATTAAATATTTTTATATTTGACCACTTAAGTCTTTGACTTAACTATCCTAATTTAATCCAGATACTGTAACTCAAATATATTTTTCCATTAAAAATCTTATTTTGGGATTAAAATTTGGAGCAAGCAAGAGCATTATGACCACTTGGCGCCACTTTACTCACCAAGCCAAAAGTCGTGATTATCCCTTATTGTTTTGATTACAAAATGTTTTTTCAATAAAAAGCATTTTCGAGGTTTGAAATCCATAACAAGCAAGGGAATTTACATTATAGAAGAGTACATAGTAGGACTATTTATCTTTAGCACAAGATTTGCACAATTAATCTTGACCATTAGATGTGAAATGGAGTGGTTGCATTTATTCGATTCCAACCTCAAAGTTCATAAAAGAAAAATCTCAAATTTTATCACACACTCAAGCTATCGGATTTCGCATCAGATGGTTATAAATAATTGTGACCTATTTGTATCAAAGGTAAATAGTTTTGATGTATAGAATCCCTTAAATTATTTGGCATTAGTAATTTATGTGGCAAATTACCAAAGTATCCCTCAAATCAAGAGCAACCTAGGTATGTTCTAACAATATAGTTGAGGAGGTTCTTAGGGGAAATTGATTTTTAATAGCAATGACTTTATTAGTAACTTACTTGATTTAACCGCCTCAATTTTTTTTTTTAGATGGTTTGACTATTTATTAACATTAACCATTTGTCAGTTGCCGGAGGAAAAAGAAATGTTATTTTTCCTTTATAATACTTAAGAGAAAGGTTATCCCTTGGGTCGCAATTCAAACAAGCTCTTTGACAAAGAGTGATTAATACAAACTCTTGATTATGGGGTTTTGTCCAATGTTGTCAGATTTGATTCGAAGTCTTTTTTGGTTTGGTGAAAAAAATGAAGTAATTCGATGCTTCGGCCGATTCGGGAGAAGATTTCGTATTTTTTAAAAAATTTAATATAAATAAATTAGATATTGATATATGAAATATATATAAATAATAGAAAAAATTAAATAATTTTTTTTTTAAAAAAATACATTTATATAGCTCTTTCTTTGTTGGCCAAAGCAGACCTAAAGCAAACCCAAAACGGTTCGAAGTTGAACGAAGCAGCCCGAAGTGATCCAAACCCAAAACGGTCCGAATTTGCCCGAAACAGCCCAAAGTGATCCAAATCTGGGCAAAGCGGCAGCACCAGGCTTTGCTTCTCTTCTGTTATGCCTAAAATCTGTAGGCTAAACAAAACGAATTTGATAACATTGAGTTCTTTCTCAAGGTTAGAGAAAATTGTTATCATAACACTATATGTGTTGTTGACCTGCACTGGATAGATTTCTTGATTTCGTATTCCTAACATAATAAAACACATTTGTGGTATATTTGCAAGCACTTTTCCTCGATAATTCGCCGTCTCGGCTCACAAAACCTAGGGTGCATAT